ATATATATTGGTCCCTGCCCATGTCACCATCGGGCGTTATCTATGGAATATCAATGTTCCGCGATCGAAATAATATCAGAAAAAAATCTTTTCTCGAACAAACGACAACGACATGACCTGATATCCAGATGTTACTTCGGGATAAAGGCTAAAGCTGGCGGAATCCACATTTATGTCAAATAAATCGAGGCTTAAATAAAATTTGCTTTTGACAAGCAAATCATTCATACGAGGCAATGTCAAGATATTTAATTTAATTTATTAACACGTGTTAATTTATATATTTAATATAATATTTGATTTATGTATTATATTTAGGAAAAAATAATGAATGTTTGATTTGAGAAAACGCGGTAGAGAGCTAGACATTTTGAATTTAGTAAAGTGTTTTTTTCCGATTTACCGCGGCGGACTTACTTATTCATATCACCTGTTGAAAAACGCACGTAATTCCCACGAAGTTCCCATTACTTCTGCAAAACTCCCGATACGCCCTATACCTTACTCGTATCTCCGTCGAATGCAGCCGTCGCATTCATTCTCAAGTTAATAAACGCTCTAAATGGATATTCTCGAACAATAGCTATTACACACTCCCGGATCTCGGTTAATCTTGTTTTAAAATTAAATTTCGCTACAGTAGAATAGAACATGTGTGATAACTATAATCTGCTGAAAACCGGATCAAACCGATGACAGATAGATCTCACTGTTGGACGACAGAAGAATATGTAACACCTCGCCGCAATCCATAAAATTTATTAGGATAATAGAACGGAGAGAGAGAAAAAACCTGTTGAAGGGAGAAAGAGATCAACCGGTTGAAACCGGGACAGTGACCCGACCCGTTGGAAACTCATAACGACTAGAAATGGTAGCGAGAGAAATGAGGGTGAGAGCTGCAATATTGTACATCCGGTAATAAACCATTCCACGGTGATATCGTAGCGTAAGGACAACGAGAAAAAAAGAGGACATTATCATCATTCGCGTGAAGGATTCCTCGATTCACCGTCGTCTTCTCAATCCGTCTTCTTAAGCCAAGTTTGTACTTGAGGATGTGGACGAAGTTATATGGATTAAGGAAGAATGGCGTTCGCCAGAAATTCTTCCTTTTTTTCGTAGATAAATCGCAACTGTCGCGCGCAAGGAGCAAACGCCGAAACGTTATCTCGCGACGCGAGGATTCCGTTCAAGGATGACGATGGAATCTCGCCCAGCATAAACTGCAAATCAATATCGATTTGAAAAGACTCGAGACGATTACCGTTCCAACTCATCGATCTTGGGAATTGCAAGCGGCAGCGCGCGAAAAATCGAGCGTCGACATCGCGTACGGTGACCATTTTTTGATGCACCGGACATATACGTCGCGAAAGGATTTAATTTGCACGTGTCCTCGACACGCATCTCCGGGGAAATAACGTCGACTTGCATTGCCGCGTATATCGCTCGATATTCCGAGCATTCGAAGGAGTCGTTCTTAGATAGACGCGCGAGGGATTACAATAATTCTTTTCCTTCCCGCCGCGCTCGAAAGAAATGACATTTCTGTTAGGCAACGACTCGATACTCGATATTCGTTCGATTAGGAGTGTACGAGACATTTGAGAAAACAACATAGAAAATTTTCTGAAATAGATTTCTCGTAGTTTTCTGCTGGTTGGATTATACACTTCGAGATCTC